TCTGCCTTTACTCAGGGTTTTGCTTCTAAAACGAAGCCCAGGAACCACCGGCAAAGGAGCTGGCAGAGCCTGTTTCTGAGGCAGATGGTGGCAATGACCCAGGCAGGGCCATCGAGGGCAGTGGCTCCAGCCAGGGCCGTCCTGCTTGCTGGTGCAGGTCAGCTGCTGGAAGGGCATCTCTCCTAATTGCGGCAGGACCATCACTGGCCTTGGGCCACCAGAGTGAGGTAACAGGGCAACGCTGGTCAAGACCCCGATGATTAGTTCCCACTCCCCTCGGCAGGTGGTCCACGGCCGCCGCTCAACAGCCCCCAGCTCGCAGTGTGCCTCTTCCAGAAACTCCTCCCTCCCTCTAGTTTAGTCTAGACACCATGATCCTGGACCCCCTGAGCTCCTCCAGCTGGCGAGGAGGGTGGGTCAACGCACACGGGCACCAGCCAGGGTCGGGGGCACCAAGGACCCAGGGTTCTACCGCAGCCGCCTCCCTCTTCCTCCCAAGTGCAGGTCTGGTTCCCCGTGGACTGCAAGTTTCCTGGGGCCCCTGTCCTACTCTTCACCACTCAGGGGGCCCAGTGGCTCAGCTCTGCGTAAGCTGCGCTACCCTCCTGCTGCAGAACCAGGGGAGGCGCTGTGCTCCCGGGAGGCCCCTCTCCTGCAGTGACCCACTCTGGCCATGGCGCACTCCTGAGAGTGCAGCTCCCTGCTCTAAATCATGACACTTGAACTGAATGAAAAGGCACTTCTTACTTACTTCATTAATAAAGATCATAAACATTCTCTTCTCATTACGAGGAAACAGAAGACCAGATTGCACAATTGCAACTAAAATATTGTTATGAATGTGAATAATAAGAGAGTTAATTCAGCTTACATAACCTCACCCTTCATTATATAATCCTTTGTGTAACATTAAAAAAAACATCAACTTGCCTATAAAGGTTGAATTTTAAAATGGTTCAGCAACAGATGTGCCAGGGAAAACGTGCACGTAACAGAGGCCCCATAAAACCTGCGTTTGCACACAGCAGCGGCCATTAATTTATGGTATAATCAGATTACTCTGCCCACTTATCGTACACACGGCGGTTCCCTCGTCCACACGATCTGGATGTTCACATGGGTTGCCTTGCTTTGCTGAGAAAGCCTCAGTCCTTCACGCTCAGTTGCAGATGGTTGTTTCATAAAAGTTCAGAAGGAGCTTTGACCACCACTGCCACAGAGGTAAGGGGCAGTCAGAGGCGTGGATATGGCCTGCTGGTGACCCAGTCATGCTGCAGAGGTGGACACGGTACCTCGGGCAGCTGGGACGTGAGGGATTCTCCCAGGCCCTGTCTCAGAGGATGGTCTCATGGCTCAAATAGCGTTTCTTCAGCATGAGAAGTGACTGACGCCCACGCTGGCCCTGTGGGCACATTCAGCAACCCCGGGCCATCACGGAAGGGTAGACACGGTCTGCTCCAGTCTCCATCCAGGGCCAAAATCCTTCCTCTACTTTCCCAACAAGTGGTGGTCTAGCTTCAGACAGAGCCATGGCGGAGATGGGAACCCCTCTCCCTCAGAGACTAGAGCCCTGGACGGCTCGGACCTCTGGGACCTTCTCTGCCGCCAGGAGCCCCTGGCAGCACGTCTGCAAGGACAGCCTCCTTCAGGCAGGCCCCACTGCTCCAC